TTGAGGGATTTTGAATGCTATGGTTTATGCAGTCTTTAATTCTATGGTTTGTGCAATATGGTTTGTGGGGAGACAGGGAGCACTGCTCAGTGGCGGGCTTTTTGAGTTCAGCAGTTTGTATGCAATATTGGTGCCTGCATGTATATTACATGTATTTTTCTTTATACATTCATATTCCCACCCTTTTTAGCAATTTCAATGAGTACCTTCCAAAATTTGCCTGGGTTTGTTTACACATCACTCTCTGTTTATTCTGTAGCCTGTCACTGCAACATGCAGATATAAATAACAAAAACATTATGCGAGAGAGAACAGATTTGGAGCACCTATTCATATCAAAGCCTTTATAACAAAACACACAGTTTCCCCTCTTCCAAAACAAACCATCTTGCAATACCATAACATTCAATACTATGTTCTGTATTTTAGACAGGTTGTCACAATGCAATCTCTTTTTATTCATAAATATTGGTGGGCAAAATATTTGCGTGCACAGATACATTACCGAATATGCAGCAGTAGAGAATAAGCAGCCAAGAATCATTTGACCCAAATCAAGATGCAAAATTCTGTCCCACACCTTTTTCCTCCATTTTCCTCCAGCCTAACACACAAAGCCACCTCTGTCCCTGGAGTGTATAGGAAGTTTTACTTCTAGCCAGACCAACAATTTCTTCTTCCCTTACAGAAGCTGGACGGGGGACTGTAAACATTCTGACAGTTTTTGAGTGACTGGAATGCTTATGAGCATTCTTGGTCATAATAACAACCCAATCAATTGGTGTTAGAAAATTCCCGGTCACAAGTGGAATAATGATACTTAGCCACTGCTGTGTTTGAAACACGTGCATACACGATAACGATCATGTATTAATAATCTGCCTTTTAACCAATTCGTTGAATAAAATTTAAATAACTTACATACTACAAAAAATGGAATATGTGGTTATTTTTCAGACCTTGAAATAATTAGCAATTTACAGTGCAATTAGTCTACTCAACTAAACTCCACCGATTTCAATAGGAATTACTCCTAGATAAGTGTGCGCAGGGTTGCAGCCTTGAGAAACGAAAGCTACTTCCCATTGTTAGTACCATGGACATACTTAACATTATGATTTCCTTTGCTTGTTGCAGTAACGCAGCAGAATTTTTAAAAGGTGTATGGAGGGATAAACAGATGCACCAACTCAAAAATTGGCCTCCCCCTTTAAAATTAGCCCATTCCCAATCAATCAACTAGGGTTCCAATCCAAGCACACTCACTTGCAGAGAAACTATTACACTTAAGGTTTACTTCTGACTAAATATGTTAGAATTGGTCTATAAAGGCTTGGGTGATTAATCTAATGATCAGACTGATTAAAGCTCGCTGTCCTTATATTACCAACTTTTTAGCTAATTGAAAAAGTTTTGATTTACTGGATGTTGGCATCCGTCTTTCTTGGGAGGCAACGGAAAAGTGTCTCCCATTTGGGGGTGAAGTCAAACTGTTGGAAGGTTGCAGCCCCTACTGTGGCTGCAGAGACTGATACAGGAGAGACATGTGTTGTTGCAGCTGGGGCAGAGGAAGTTTCTCCTCTGGTCACGGCTATGAATGCATGATCTATCTGTCTGTCTCCAGGCACTATAACCAAATCATATGTGTATGTATTATTCTGTCTTGCCTACCACTGTGAGTACTTTCTGAAATGCAGTCTCTTGAGTCTCTGGTATGTTTCTGCATCAGGCTATGCCATGACATGTATGCGCACAGAACTACGGAGGGGCCATAACTTAGCAGGTATTTTGCATACAGGAAGTCTGAATTTTTATCCTTGGCATGTTCAGTTAGAAAGGTCAGAAGTGTGGTAAGACTCAGAACAACTTATCCCTGAGATCTTGGAAAGCCACAGGCAGCAGTAGGCTTAGAAGAACCAATAGCCTAATTTGAATTTTTTTTAAAAAAAAAGCTTTATGTTACACTCCTGTGTTATGATAAGTCACAACATATTGCTTCCATAAAATTCGTCCTAAAATATGAGCATCCTAAGCTCAAGAGAATGTGGTTCAAGAGAAAAACGGGTGTTCTAGATTCAAATTCTAATTCAGGAACTTGTTAGTCAGGACTGGGCCTGTTGTTGTTTATAGGTTTGGGCAAGTTGTTCTTTTGACTTGCCCATCTGTAAAATGGGAGCAGTAATGAACTATCCAGATGAGTCGTTGTGTGGCTCAAGAAGCAGTGTGTGTGTGTGTGTGTGTGTGTGTGTGTGTGTGAGACGCTTGCTTTAATATGAATTTTTTTTTCAAATAAAATAGTGTCACTTGGCTTGTTCTAAATTCATGTCCTCATTGAACCCCTTACATGCCACCAAATTTTACACTGGAACCACAACATGAATGATTTCAATGTGTGGGGCTCAGCCCAGACAAAACTAAGCACATTTAATCCTCAGTTGCTTTAAATGGAAGAGATTTAAGCACATGTAACAGGTAAGGACTCGGGTGGCGCTGTGGTCTAAACCGCTGAGCCTAGGGTTTGCCAATTGGAATGTCAGTGGTTCGAATCCCCACAACGGGGTGAGCTACCGTTGCTCGGTCCCAGCTCCTGCCAACCTAGCAGTTCGAAAGCACGCAGTGCAAGTAGATAAATAGGTACCGCTCCAGCGGGAAGGTAAACGTCGTTTCCATGCATTGCTCTGGTTTGCCAGAAGAGGCTTAGTCATGCTGGCTACATGACCCGGAAGCTGTACGCTGGCTCTTTTGGCCAGTAAAGCGAGATGAGCGCCGCAACCCCAGAATTGTCCGTGACTGGGCCTAATGGTCAGGGGTCCCTTTACCTTTAACAGGTAAGGACTCTACACCCCATGTACAAAAAAGTAATCAAGACACATGTAGTAGGAGCAGACCTTAACACTAACCTATAGCAGTGCCCATGTAACTTCCTTAAAAGGAATATGAATGTGGCTCTATGGAAGTAAGTTTATGCAGTTCTATGGAAGTAAGTTTATGCACTGCCTAAACTCTGTCATTCACTGCATGAGCAGAAGTCTCAGATCCCAAGCAGTAATGGCACTGCTTCATTCTGCTTTGGTTAGATACCTCCTTGTTTGGAGATCTGTCTCCAGTCCTGGGTCCTTCAGTTTAAAGGACATTGGCCAAGTGTGTCTGGAGGAGGGCAACAGTGCATTGCAGGGGAAAGAAAGCAGCTATTGTGCTTATTTTACTCCAAAGCATCCAGATAAGGCAGTCTCTAGTCTCATAAAACCAGAGGGGGCAGACGACCTAATTGAGTGGTATGGAACCAGGTGTTCTTGGGCTACAGCTCCCTGCCCACTGGCCATTCCAGCTGGGGCTGATGGGAGATGGAACCCAACAACAGCTTGGGCACCAGAGGCTTCCCCCCACCCTTGATCCCTGTGCCTTGAGTTACTCCAAGTCCCACAGCCAAATGAAAGGATGGAGCTCAGCGCTAGAGTATCTGGAAGTGAGAGCTCCTACCAGTCCGTGCAGGCAGTACTGAACTAGATGGGCCAATGGTCTGACTTCGTATGAAGCAGCTTTCTGTGTTCAGTTCCACTGTTCCCCTCACCCTCTGGACTGAATGTTGGAAAGTTGGATAATAAATTGGTGGGGGTATCATTTGACCAGAAGGCTTTCAGTTCCTGATCCATGTGCTATGAACCATAGAGGCATAGAGTTGGAAGGGATCGCAAGGGTCCTCTCGTCCAACCCCCTGCAACACAGGAATCTCCATTTAAGCATCCATGACAGGTGACCATCCAACCTCTGCTTAAAAACCTCCAAGGATGGAGAGTCCACAACCTCCTGAAGGAGACCATTCCACTGTCAAACAGCTCTTACTTTCAGAAAGTTCCTCCTGATGTTAAGTCGGAATCTCCTTTCTTGTAACTTGAAGCCATTGGTTCGAGTCCTACCCTCCAGAGCAGGAGAGAAAAAAAGCTTCCTCCATCTCTCATGTGACAGCCCTTGAGATATTTGAAGAATATTATGCACTCACTGCTCTCCCTGTTTCCTTTTTAGAGGAAATTCAGGCCCTCCTTCCACATTCTTTAGTGTGGTATACAACCAACCAGTCACTCTAGCATGACGTGGTGTGCAGTTTAACCTCCCTACCCTACCCTATCCTATCCCAGTGTGCTCTCAGCGCAACCCTCTGCTCCTGAGGACTGAGGAGAAACACAGAGCAGATCTAGAGGGGACAGGGCAGTGTGGGGAGAAGAGGGAGGAGGAGGTTTAATTGCGCAACTCAAAGGCATTGCACTAACATAACTGCCCAGTCTGTCATTATTGTGTTTGCCTTATTCCCTGGGTCTTTGTCCCTCAACATAAATTTACTCGTTTGAAATATCTGCATGCATTACTATATTATACTCAAACGAATGACCAGGAGGGCTGCCTTATGGCAGTTTGATACAGTGGTACCTCGGGTTACATATGCTTCAGGTTACAGACTCCACTAACCCAGAAATAGTACCTCGGGTTAAGAACTTTGCTTCAGGATGAGAACAGTAATCGTGCTCCGGCGGCGTGGCAGCGGCAGTGGGAGGCCCCATTAGCTAAAGTGGTGCTTCAGGTTAAGAACAGTTTCAGGTTAAGAATGGACCTCCGGAACGAATTAAGTACTTAACCGAGGTACCACTGTATTAGTGAAGTGATACACACGGTTCTCTTTAGAGGACAGAGGCCCTGTTAAGACCATTTGGTCCAAAGTCTAAAATTACCTAACTTCACCTCTAAAGCAAATGGCCCCAAAACAACGACTGCATCCTTGTCCATGCCAGTTTCATCCTTCGGTGTGACTGCCACTTCTGTCCCCACAGTCTGTTCGTAGGTGGGTCTTGTAATTGCAGAGGGGCATGTGGGAACTGGAAAATGAGGCCCCAGCAAATTGCTCCATACATGTTTCCAGGAAAAGCTACTGTCTGAATGCAGGCCATAGGTCGGTGGCAGAGCACATCTGTACACAGAAGGCCCCTGTGATCCAGCTGTGCAGGGAAGGGCCATAGCTCAGTGGTAGAGCAGCCGCTTTGCATGCAGAAGGTCCCAGGTTCAATCCCCCGGCAACTCCTGATATGGCTGGGAACGATTCCCAGTCTGAAAACCTGGAGAGCTGCTGCCAATCAGTGTAGGCAGTGCTGCACTGCTTGTGTCTAACTTACCTGACCCAGCCAAGAGTGTTTGTATTGGCTCCTGTTCTTGCCTGGTTTTTCTGGATGCTGTTTAGAAGCCATAAACCACTTTCATTTCTGTAGGCCAAGCTGAATTCATTACAGTACCTGGCCTTAGGCAAGCTGTTAGATCTTGGCTTGCAGCAACATGGGGTAGGGGGATAACAGCAATGACCTGTCCCACAGGATCCTAGAAAGGACAAATAGAAGCACTTAATTGGACACTTAATGAAAGCCGTCTACAAATACCAGAGCATGAATGGGAATGACTGGGACTGATGGAAGTCCAACCACAGAATAGCCATAGCTGGTGCGCAGGGTTGCAGCCTTATTGACTAAGAAACTGAGTAAGCATGCACAAGACTGGGTTGAAAATTTAATGGAACATACCTAACACCCATGAACTTTTGATTGCTTAGCAGCAATTGGTGTAGCAATTAAACTGCTAGAACATTTGCAAAGCTAAGCATGATTTCAAATTGGATGGGAGACACAGTGTCCTGGACTGGTTGGACACAGAGGAATGGTGGGAAGAGCCAGCTGGGGAACCATCAAAAGAGCCCGGCGAGTGGTGGTGGGTTGACAGTGAGTGGTCAGAGGGAGATGACCAGGAAGATGAGGTGGTGAGCTGGGAGAGTCTGTGGCAGAGAGAAGTCAAGAATCGGAAGCTGAAGCTGGTGAGTGGGAGGAGAGAGACCAAGAGGCAGAGATTATTCAGGTCGGTGAAGAATTATGGGTATCTCTCCCTCCGGCTGTGACAATCTCCTCACCCCTGGTTCTCCTCCCAGAACCAGGAGAGGCATACAAAGGGCGGAGGAGAGATTGGCTGCACCTATGTAGGCGCAGTCTCTGAAGGAGACATAGACAGCTGTGGGGGAGGGGAGGGACCTTCAGTCCCAGTAACTGATTTCCTGGAGGAAGACCCACCAGGAATGAACTGCTGTGCTAATAAAAGGTTAGCTGCAGCTTTGGACTGTGATTACTGACCAGCGTGCTTTGTAACACCTCATGTTGAGATTCCTGCATTTCAGAGGGTTGGACTAGATGACGCTTGGGATCCCTTCCAACTCTGAAATTCTGGGATTCTGGGATTCATCAATCCAGCCAAAGTTAAGCCTCCTAAGGATGCACCGTTATGAACTTCCTAGTACATGGGGCAGCACTCCATTGATTTTATTGGCTGATATTTTTAGAAGTGTGTTTTTAATTCTCCCTTTGGAGTCCATGAGACCAAGTGGGTCGTGCTCACCATTTATTCTGATTCTCCACATTCCCAGGGCTTTGGCAGACCTAAGCCTTGAGTCAGGAGCTAGGAGAGGAGAGCGTAACTCAGTGATAGAGCACTAAGGTCCTGGGTTCAGTCCTTGCCTTCTATAGTTCGGAATAGCCTGGTGATGTGAAAGACCTCTTTGCCTGGGACCAGTCCTCTGATCTTTGTGTGTGCCAGTCTGCAGGGCGGATTAAGACCTTTAGAGGTCATAAACAGGGAAAAGATTATGGTGCGCTCCCTGCATGTGCCATTCCAAACAAAAAGAACACTAGACGGTAAAAGAAAATATTATGTTTAAAAGTGACACAATAATAATCATCATAATTTATTATTTATACCCCGCTCATCTGGCTGGGTTTCCCCAGCCACTCTTGGCGGCTTCCAACAGAACACTAAAATACAATAACCTATTAAACATTAAAAACTTCCCTAAACAGGGATGCCTTCAGATGTCTTCCAAAAGTTTGGTAGTTATTTTTCTCTTTGACATCTGGTGGGAGGGCGTTCCACAGGGTGGGTGCCACTACCAAGAAGTCCCTCTGCCTGGTTCCCTGTAAACCTCACTTCTCGCAGTGAGGGAACCACCAGAAGGCCCTCGGCGCTGGACCTCAGTGTCCGGGCAGAATGATGGGGGTAGAGATGCTCCTTCAGGTATACTGGACCGAGGCCATTTAGGGCTTTAAAGGTCAGCACCAACACTTGAATCGTGCTCGGAAACGTACAAAACTTCTATGCATACAGACATTAAAACAGTTTTGTTCCTAGGTTTTCTGATTGCAAATTTATTTCCAAGAGAGATCCTTCCTTCCTTCCTTTTGGTGCCCCTGCTTCGCTTGCCTACTGGCTGCTACTCCAGCGCTGCCAGTCAGAGCAGGGAGCAGGAGGCTACCTAGGCGAGCAGCCTGGCGGCCAGGTCTCTCAGGCAGCTTTTGCATGGGCGAAGCAGCTGAGTACGAGCGAGCACCTTGTCAACAAACCAACGGAGGTGTTCGATTTGGCGCAGGGCCATTGCAGACCCTCCTCCACCTCTCTGTACTTGGCGGCTCTTGCTTCCTCCCCCTCCCCCTCCCCTCTATTTGTTTCTATTTATTCCCGCCTGCCTTCTCGCTCGCCCCTGTGGTTGTGTCACTTTCTCGAGCCGATGTGTATATGGAGCCGGATCGATGCTGATAATGTTGCGAAGATTAAAAGCGCATTAATGCTGCCAACGACGGCAGAGCGTGCGCGCCCGACTCGCCATTGATTGGCCCGGCAACTCGAGCCGGCGCCTTTCCAGGAACTGCGAGCTGGCGGCGCGCGGCCTTTCCCAGCAGAGGCATCAAAGGCTGCCCCCCCTCACCCAGCACCCCCCCCCCGCGCCCCCTCCCCCGACTTTCCCAGCCTGGGTGGGTTTCTCGTCTGGCTCGGGCTGGCCCCCTCCCTCCCCTCTGGCTTCCCTCCCCCCCGGGGCATCGTCCCCTCCCCTCCTCTGCCTTTCCCAGTCTGGGCGAGTTTTCTTGTCTGGCTTCCGCTCGCCCCGTCCCCACCCCCGGGCATCGCCCACCACTCTTTCCCCGAAGTCTAGGCCGTTGGTGGGGGTGGGAGGAGAGAAGGAGAGACAGAAGCTGGAACTGACAATGTGGACGGCAAGGAAAGAAGGGGAGAGACGAAGCGAGCGTTCACTCCGAATTAAGCGCCCGCGCCGAACCCGAATTGGTTCCTTTTTCCAAAACAGTGTTTCCCATACTTAAGTCTCCAGATATTTTTGGACTAGTAAACAGGACCGGTAGTCAGGGATTATAGGAACTGTAGTCCAAAGACAGCTGGAGACCCAAATTTGGAAAACACTGCTCCAACCCCCCCCCCCAACAATCATTTTACAATCCGATCTCAAACCTACTTGGAACTCTATGGGAAGTATTTGCCGCCGCTTACTCGGAAGCAAGCCTCCCTGCATTGATCAAGGACCTGTTTCGGGCGCGTAGAATTGCAGTCTTGTTGCTTTCATTCGTTTGGACTTTCTCTTAACCCTTAACCGGGAGACAGAGTTAAGGCGCTAGTCCCTTTGAAGTGGATGGGCAGTCGATGGGAATTTCGTCGATCCGGGTGTGGTTTGCCTTTACAAGATCCAGCGCCTCAATCGCCAACCGGTTTCCTTGGAAATAAATCCGCTTGGTTTCAGTGCAACAGGTTTCTAAGTTCACGTTTTTTGAACGGTGGCAGTTGGCATAGCTGCCTTCTGGATCGCACCTGAAATCCAAGCACGGTGAACGGTGGCAGGCAAGGCAAAATAGGGAGCCGAATCCGCGAGCCATTTCCTCGGTTACCCATTTCCAGCCCAAGCGCTGAGATGCAGAAATATGTATACATCGCTAAAGTTCTCTTTTTCCTTGCAAGTCAGGTCCAGAGCGTCGTTGCTGCTTTTAATCCAAGCCCAGCAATCTATGTTTATCCCAATCCTATGAATGTTTGACTCGGGAACAGGGGCTGCAAAGTTGTGACCCTGATGATCAATCGCTTAGATGCATTCATTAAAAACCTCTCGGTCTGTTAAAAAGGATCACCCGCTTAATCGAGCAACCGATTCCCTTTAAAGAATTTTAAGTGGAAATAAAATTGCAGATGGCAAAGTGTCAACCTAGAGGAGACCGCCCCCTTTTAAAAAATTTCCTGCGCATCTATTTATTTATTTGCCACCAAGCGGTTTACACAATACTTAATAAAACAAGCCATCAAAATGAGAGGGGGGGGGGGAATTGAGGGAACGCCCCTTCTAAAATGGTTGTGACAGATCTGAGCATCCTAAGAATAAAATAAAAACTAACGCACCCAAAATATGCCATTTCCTTCGAAATTGTTGCTTTTTCCGCAGGAAGATCTATTTATTAATTGACTTGCAGTTGCAAACGCATACAGTTAATCGACTGAAGCCGCAATCCTATGCGCACAAGGAGACCTACTTCTGCGTAAACAAGCCTAAGATTGGGCTGTTCGGTGTTTTCTAGTCCGATGATGCTCGGAAGTAAATCCCACTAGGCTCAGCGGGGCTTACCTTCAAGTAAACGCCGTATACAAAGACCTCAACTCTTTCTTGCGCGTTAACTGAATTGATTTCAGTGGTCCTTAGGCAGGTTTCAGACCTCAGCAGCACCCATCGGAGCACAATTGCCACTGTATTCAATGGAAACAAATTCTATGGGAATCAATGAGGTTTACTTCTGAGTAAAAGCACCTAGGATCAGGATGTTAAACCCCACCGGGTGAATATAATAAAATCATTCCTTAGGTGGTGACTTCCTGCTTGATCTGGTGTGTTTTGACTGCACTAAGGCAACTTTCCTAAGGACGCTTACTTGGGAGTAAGCCCCATTGAACTCTGTGTGCAGATTTAAAGAAATCCTGCGGTCCCATCCTGGGCGTGTTTTCTGTGCACACATCGTATATTTAAGTCTTACCCCCTCCCCTTCCCCCAAAAGAATCATTGGAATTATATTTTCTTAAGGGTGCTGGGAATTGTAGCTCAGTGAGAGGTAAACTATAGTTCCCACGATTCTTCATTTTTTTGGGGAGTGGGTAAAGAAACGTGCTTTCAATGCATGGGATGTATTGAAAAGTGATGCATGGGAATCACTTTCACCCTAGTCTTCTTAAC